ATCCTGTGACTTGAAGCCAGGAAGCGCGACACGGAGCAGTTGGTCAAGTATTTAAAATGCTATAGAAGCTCCAACAGGACGTTATAATGCGAAGACGTAAACATGTTGAACTCAATGAGACTAAGGTTGAAATATGGCTCGTTTTAATTCCCTCCACCGAGGAGGTCGTGTTTTCACTCCCGTTCGTTTGTTGGTGGAAGGATTCGGTCTGAGTCAGGAGAGAGGCAGGGTCCATCAAAAATGTTATTTACATAACAGTGTCTTATTCAGACTAATGACTTAATCTGGTTAATATCATTATCGTCCACGTCCTTCTGTCGAGACGGAAATCATTTGAAATCAAACCGACCGACAGACACAGAGCGGCAGCGGAGTGAAAACATCTTGGACATGAACTCAGTAAAGAAAGTGAAGGCAACACCTGAGTTTACCGGCTGCTTCGTGTCAAAATGGCCGCCGTGAAAAGAGTCTAACAGAAATGAGTGCAACTCCAACAACTTGTGTCGAACCACAGGCTCTGGACAAATCGTCTCAACCACTGAGACCAAACCACGTGCAGCACCTAGAGACGCAGTCAGCCCCAAACTAGAAGCATGGAGAGGACACACACGACACGGCTGTCGACATTAACCGATTACAAACTGACCTGTGAGGTGACGCAGACTGGAGAGGAGACGGGCGGGCGTTGGTCTCCATGTGAAAGTTTGTGACGTGAACTCTCCTGTTGGATCTGGAGGATCCTCTGATGAGGCCCCGACCACGAGGAACAGGTGAGCGTGACTCTGCTCTGAAGTCAGGTTCAGGTTGGATGAGCTTTCACTGAGGGGCCGTCAGTAAATCCCAGTTTAAATAAAAAGGACAGATGTTTTGTTTTTAACTGCTTCAAGGTCTCGTGACCCACAGACTCAGAATAATATCAGATATCATTGCTCCCCTGGACAAATAGCTCATATCTCTTTAATTTGATTTTCTTATATGAATATGAATATTTCTAATAAACTCCAAACAAATGCTGAGTTTTATCATTACGGATAAGAGATGAACAGGACGCATCTCTATTAAGTAGATTTTAGTGTTTCCAATATTTTCAGTGAATATTTATATTTTTCGAAATATAATTCTTTCTCATTAGCTTCCAAGTCATGCCACTCACTGCCTGCAAACAAATGTTGATCTGTATTATTACCCTAGATAGGTCAAAGGTCAAAGTTCAGTCCTGGCTGCAACATGTTGCTGATTATCTTTTTTAATAACACGATTAGTTTTTTCTCTGTAAAACATTTAATATTTGACTGTTTAAGATACATGATAATTCTTTATTTTTCATCCTTTAATAAAACGAATTATTTCACCTCTGATTTTGACTTTAGGAATAAAAAAAAATCACTTTCATCCAACCTCTGCAGAACTTTTAAAACTTCGGCTGATGAAGACAACAACCAAAACTTCAACGAATGATTAATTCCAACTATTGATTAATGTGCCAATAACGTTTTCAAATGATTGATTAAATGTTGTCTTTATAAAAATACCAGACAATTGCAGCCTAAAGCAAATTCACAATTAAATCTCCCTCAGACCCAAATGATGTTTTGTTATCAATTAAGCTTAGTTAAGAAGTTTTGTTTAGTTTCCAACCAAACTTTCACACGAGTGTCTAATTTATCTGGATAGTAGCACAGAGGCAAAGGTCCCACAGTTATACATGATTCTGTTCATATCTCCATTCATCTCTTAAACTGTATATAAAATGTTAAATAATGTATTTTGCTTACAGAATAAACCATTTGAACATTATTTCCACTTTACCCTCAAAAGACTTCAGTCTCCTAATCTCAGAAATATAAGAGTACAGAGATGAATATGAATAGTTTCAAAAGTTTTATTTGAATTCAAATTTAGCTGTGTTTGGAATAACTTTCACCTGTAACTACTTATGATCAAAACTCTATCAGATAAAAACAAATACGCCAAAATAGTTTATTCATTAGTTAATAACAGTCAGATTTTATTGGTATGAATAATCAACCAAAATGAAGTGAAGGAAAACAGGAGAGTTGTTCTCATAAATGCACCAAGTTAAAAAAACTTACTCACAAAAGAAAAGATACGTGGAGACACAAAAGTCAAACGAGCCTCAGCTGCTGTTAAGTGTCTGTGTTTCAGTTCATTTATGCAGCAGACGTCTGCATGGCCGTTTTTCAAAAGTCTGTTTTGCTATTTTCTGAAAAATTCCAAAATTAAAACAGCTGTTCATTCATCCTGCGTCTTAATAGTTTGTTTCTGCCTTTTATGCACGGATGACGACAAAAACTGCCTCGATGAGCGTAAACGTGGTGAATGAATTGGTCACAAGAGGAGAGAAATGTAAAAAACATTCAAAAGTCAAGGGGAGGAGGGGGGGGGGGGGTTAAATCTTATTGCAGAACCCAGGGAGTGAACTGTGAACAGGCTGCAGGATTAATGTGTTATCGTCTGCTGCCGCGGCCTCATGATTCACCACCGCGTTTTTTGTTTGTTTCTCGGAAACAATCACGGGTAAATCAAATTTTATTCGCAGTTGAATTATATCGGGGGTTAGTTTCAGGATTGCAGGTGCTAATATGCATGTGTGGGCTGGAGCAGGAGCAGAGGCACTGTTGTGTTGCACTGCACGCTTTGTGCTATTTATCTCAAAGAAGTGTATCAATAGTGCCACCACATGGAAAGCCTGGAAGAGTCTGATGCATTTCTACAAACCAACATTTCCCCCTGAAAAAAACATGGATTCCAGCATTAGACTTGAACTGAAATGAAAAGGAAAGTTAATGTATGAAAGTGTGTTTAAGTTGTCAACATTACTTTTTCTCTGAGTAAAAAAGAAGACACAGACCAGACAAATGTAAAAACATCAGATTTATGGATTTTTAGCAGCAGGCGATGCAATCATGGGATTAACACAATTAAAAGTTGACAGAGAATAAAGCTTTGCAGAAAATCTCTTATGAATAAAAGCAAATTTCCTTCGTAAATATGAGCAAAATACAGTTTTACTGCCAGCAGCTTTCAACTGTTATGCGCTCCATCACGGTCCTGAGTGTCCTGACTCAGTGCAGCCTCGTCCATCGCCACATGCGGTGCCAAAATATCACCACCCACAGAGATTTTGAAGTCAGCACAGTCTGCATCCTTAAAACCGTGGACATCTGCTGGTCTCTGAACTGGTTTGCAGGGAAGCCAAATGGGTCAAACGTGTCAGGGTGGTGCCAGAGCTTCATCTGGAGGAGCTCATCTGGTGCTCCTCCTGAGGCTCTCCACGGTCTGCAGGAAGGAGCGCTGGGCTTGGTCCTCCTCCAGGGTGGAGCAGTCCTCCTCCTCCTCCTCGATGATGCCACACTGCACGCAGCGGAGGCGTGGCTCACGCTGTCCGGCCCTGCACACGCACGCCGTGGCCAGAGACTGGGGGAACTCTTCCATCACCAAAGGCAGCAGATGGGCAGGGAGCGTGTCCATGCTGGTCGCCATGATGAATGGTGGCCCAAATGTGCGGATGATGAGCTGTCGACAGTGAAGCTCTGGAGTAGACGCAGGATTTGAAGCCTTATGTTTGAAAAATCTGGTGTTTCTGGTCAGCTGCTTTTGGACAGATTATGATTAAGTTGAAAAAATGTAAAAAAAATATGGAATAGAAGACTCAATCAGAGCTGTTTTAAAATTCAGTCCTCGGGGTTCTGCTTGATTTGAAAGATCCTGTTTTGCTCCTTTTTCCAATTTGCCCCTCGCTCTGACTGCACAGTGTGTACGTGTGTGAGTCTGAGCGAGCCCTGGACTTGAGCACCACTGAGCTCGTCGTTATATATACGTCTCTGCAACCCACTCCATCCTTCCTTTGGGCATCCCTCCGCACACAGAGCTCCTCTTCCCTCCCACAGCCTCGGTGATGACACATTTCCGCAGCTTCCATACCTGCGCACCGGAATGATCTCTCAGAAACTGTTGGCATGGGAACTGGATGGTGATGCTTGGGAGGGAAGAGGCAGAGGGATGAGAAAGCAACACATTTGTATGAGCTGTGAAAACAACGGAGGATGGTTAGAATCCCCGGAGGAAGTCGTGTGAGCTGATAATCCTAAATATGAGCATGTTTGTGGAGTTTGTGGACAACGAGACTTTAATATAATACACATTTTACACTTTTTACATTTTATATATGACTCTGAATTCAGACCTATTTTATTAATTACTGAGCCAATGAAGGAATTCAAACTAACACTGTTCTCTTGAAGGGTTTCAACAAGTTTAACTTGTTTAACTGAAGTAGCCGAGTAGAAATGAACCACGTTTGTTTTGTAGTTTTTGTAGTTTTTTCACAGCGTTCTAGTTCCGGCATAACTGAGAATCAACTACAACACAACTATACATGGAAGTATCTTTAAATCAACGTTTACCAGAGACTGTGAATAAAGATGGACGACATGACGGCTCCTCAAAAGTGAAGCAGAAGCATCTAGATCACCACCTGGTGGCTGGGTCATAGATCCAGCCTCCTCCATGTTAATGGTTGGGAGATGACTTTTCTCAAAGATGGTTTCTGTCATTTGCGGTTGTTCTTATCATACCGATGTTCGTTGAAGTGTCGAATTTTTCCAATAAGTTTGGTTTTAAATAGTTATTTGACAAGTGCATCAACGTGACGCCGACACCACAGCGTCGCACCCCCATCGCTACTGTGCAAACTCCCAAATACACAAAATGGTGGCGTCCATATCGGGGGTATTTTAACTTGTCGTCCAGGTTTAGTCTTTAACAATCACATGATTAAGCCTGAACATATTTAAGACCTAGTATCTAATGTTTAAGACATTTTAACGCCTAAAGTTCAGTTTAGAAGTTTAGTCTTTTTTACAGCCTCTTGGAAAACCCTGTCTTGTCAGTCCTCAGTATAATGTAGACGAGAATGTGTCCCTTAAAAACTGATTCAAAACAAAACAAGTGAAAGTAAGAAGACAGATGACTGGGTGAAGTTATTTGAAAAGCATATTTATTGTAGGCTGGATGGACAAATGTAGTTTTCTGTTTTCAGGACATAACAGTAGCATCCAGATATTTTTCTGCTTCCCAGGTATCAGGACTACACCTCTAAAGCCACTGCTCCCAGAGAAAAGCCATAATAATAGAGCTGAAGCCCCCAGCTGCTGCACTCTAACAGTAGTATTAGCAAAACATTAGGTACGAAGTGTCCACTTGGATTAATACAGAATAACTTAACAGTTGATATCTGATCCCAGGCCAGTCACACGTGAGACTAAACTAACGACGAACTGTTTAAACACCGACAGTCAACATATGTAGATTTAAAAAGACAAAGTCAAAAAGGTTAAACATCATTTCATTGGTCTCATCTGCAGATTTGGTTTGGTTTCATTTCAACGATACAGGTCAAAGGATTTGAGATTTAATCATTACAACAGATATTTAAAGAATTGTAGATGAAACACGAACTTCAGTTGTTGGAATTAATTTGAAAACTGAGTTTGTAAACACGACACATTCTACCGCAGCGTCTTCCCTCCATTAGAACACGTAGTTGAAGTCATGTAGGAAGTGTTGACAGTAAGTGCAAGCCTCCGTCCATCGTCCTACTCCACCCGCCCACTCATGAGTCTCAAACATGCACACAAGCAAACACATACGTTTCTATAACCCCCACTTCTCCTGTTGATTTCATTTTACCATTTTAAGCGACAGAGGATTAGTTTTAAAAGTTAGTAGAGTGTAATTCGTTAAATCTGATCAGTCGCTAAAACCCAATTCAATAATTTTCACAACGCTGACAACTGTGGCCAGAAACTGCTTCACACCATCTATGAGCAGATGTTAGAGTAGATGTTCAGAAACCGTTACATTCCCTCTTCTTGTTCCACGATGATGATGATGATGCTGCTGGTCGGACGACTCGTTAACACATGGTCCCCTCTGTCTGCCGCTCGCAGCCGCTTCATCTATCCCTGCTTCTGTTTCTTGAGGTAATGAGCGCGCTGGGACAACCCCATCCCCATCACGTAGCTGTTGAGGATCTTGGCAGGAAGCAGAGCCGTGGTCACCCAGCCCTTCAGATTAGAAATTACATGGTCAGCTGGTGGCATTTACAAATAACAGATGAGCATTCATTATTAATTTCCCCACCCCAAAGGAGCGACGACTGTCGAAAGGGGAGTTTGTGCACATGGAAATTCAGGCCTCTGCTCCGTGTTAAAAACCTGGGCTCTTCTCAAATTATGCATGAGTGAAGTTACACCCACTGTTTTACAAATCTCTACAGTAGCTGCACCTTGTGCATACAAATCACCGACCTGAACATTTCCATCGCAGCACACTCCCTCGGGCGTTCTCGTAACAACTTTGTAGTTGTCGGTTGTAAAATAAGGAAAACTTATCTCCCTGAACATACTCACCAGATTGACTTTTTTTTTTTTTCATAATAATTCAGCATTGTTCAATAGTAAGCAATTTAAAAAAAAAATCTTTTTATGCTTTAACTGAAATGTCAATTCAGCAGCTTCCACAGTGTGGCAGTTAAAACAGCTGATTGTGTTCTGAGGAAACCCCCCACGGTCTTTAATCCTCTTCTTAAGTAAGAAACAGTTTTATGAAGCATCATAAATGGTTCATACATTGACTTATTATTTCCACATTGAATTAATTACAGATGGATTTCCTCTTAGTTGTATCATTTCCATTCCTCATGCTAATTTCCTTAAAAGCTTTTTTAAATTCTGGTTGAGTTTTGAATAAAAACACTGAGGAAGTCCGCTACTGGGGGAAATGTTGGTTGAGGTTTGTTCGATAAAAATAACTAATGTTTTGTGATCGTCGACAATTTAAACTCTTTTCTTAACTTTGGTTCGAAAAAAGTTTAGCACAGCCGAAGAAGAAATGGCCGAACTTGATTTAATGCAGCATCTTAAATGATTTTTAAGTGTTTAGTTTTATCTCTTTGGCAATGGATTTATTGTACATTGTAATTGGCTCATTACTCTCAGGCATATTTCCAACATCACTAAAAACTGTTAGTGATGCTTTAGTCAAGCCTCTAATGAAACAGAGAAACCTGGAGGCTTCAACGTTTCACAACTACACAAGTCTCTTTTATCTTCCCTTCACGAGCAACATTTTTAAGTAAGTAGTTTTTAATCAAATCAATAATTCCTTGTAGATTAATTGCATTTCATGATAGATTCCACTCAGGTTTCCATCCACATCATATCACAAAGATTTCTAAGTGTTTGAATTCATAGTTATAAGGGAGAGGATATATTCAGTCAGTATTTGTGAATATAAATCTTATCCCACGTTCCCACAAGGATCCGTTCTCGGTTCTCTCCTGTTCAGCCCTTTGCTGTTTACTCCTGGTTGAATGACTGAGGTTCTATTAAATAAAACAAACGTTCCCTCTATTAATAAAGATCAGACCAGAGTGGGGACCAGAGTTCAAAGTTGCCCTTGGAGCAGAAATGCACCCCGACTTTAGCCATTTAAAAAAACACTTCTTTCATTGAATGGTACTTTTATTCATCTTATTCAATTTGGGGTTAAACTGTGGCTGCATCTTTTTCTTGTAAAACCTTGAATAACCTCTGTAAAAGATAGAAAGCTACATAAATGTGTCTTGATTTGATTTGGCCTTGTATTGATTTCGAGGAGAAGTCTTTTTGTAGTTCTTAACTTCCATATATACGTTTGAATTTATCACTAATTTAGGTCTAAAATGTATAAACAAATTATGTAGAGTAAAGAAACGACAGAATAAATGAATCTTCTCAATATGCTGAAGGTTCCAGACTGCAGTTAAACAACTGTCTAAATTAGAGACTGGTGAACTGTGAGTTATTACTGGACAGAGCTGTGCTGCACAGTTTGAGGGGATTATGGGATAATAACGACACAACTTGCCTGCAGCCGGTGGTTCAGTGCAACCAGGTGTGATGACAGGAAAGATCTGTGCTGAGTTTACCTTATCTACACTGGACTGCACAGGAACAACAGGAGCTCTGTGTGTGATTTACTGACCTCGTGAATATTGTAATTCATGCTGCTGCTGTTGATGTGTATAATAAACACGATCGTTGAGGATTCAGGTGGCAGAGTTCAACACCTTCAAACACAAGAAACTCAAGGGAGAACATAAACTGCGCAACCTCTGCTGGAGCGCGGACGCCGTCCCGAGAAATGGGGAAAGAGGTTTTGTGTCTCATGTCTGATGCTCGTGTCTCCACAGAGTAATAACAGAGTTAGGATGCAGGCGATGCTTCAAGGTAGTGAAACATCGCACTCCATTATTTCAGAGGATGTTTACCTTTTGACAGATGCGTGAGCGACTGTTGACACAAAATTAATTCAGTGAATGGAGATGAGCTGCTAGGAGGCTCTTTTGAATTAAGTGGAGCTGCAGCCTGATGAGGTTTAGGTGCCGTTGTCATTACAGACCTTGACAATCTTTGATTAGTGCAACACTGCTCCAGATCTATAACCGCAGAGACACCAGTTGTGTTTAATTGAAATCACTATATGATGCGGTGGTGCTGGCCTTATACCTTACACAGCCATTCAGTTGTTCAGGCTGTTCATACAACAGATAAACGGACAATTGTTCTGCAGAGGACGTTTCCCACATTTTGACAATAGTCACTAAGACATTTAATTAAAAGCCTAAAGGGGCGGAAATGTGATTTTGTGGGAACTTTGAGCGTTTTTAAGAAACGTCGAGGGAATTATATGGATGTTTATGTTTTGTTTAAACGTGTTCGACATGAATAGAAGAAGAAGCAGGTCATTTAATATGTAAAAACTAATTTTGGTCTGTTTTGTGACAAGCGAAACCTGAAATTTCACGAGATCTGCTGACTGACAATTAGTGTCTTTCTTCTTTACTCCCATCATTTCATATCCAGACTTACAATGATGGCGTGCGGCAGGTATCCGTTGGTCTGGGTCTGTAACCCCACAGTGTTGAGCTCGGCCGCGACGTAGCGTTCTGGAGTGGGCTTGTCCAGCGTAGCCCGACGGATTTTACTCAACTTGGTTGCAACAAAAAATGGCAGAACGCTCTGGAATAAACAAAGAGTGAGAGGGAGAGAGAGACAACCAGAAAAAGAAAAAGTAAAAATACAGATCAAAGAAACGTGGCAAACTGAAGAACTACAAAAATGAAAAAAACAAAAAAAAAAAAAGAAAGAAAGGAAACAATCTGGTTATATCGATGTGTTTCGGCTTTTTCTCCAAATAAGCAGAACTAAAGTTAGCTCATGATTTACCTGGATGATGATGCCTTTGCTCTTGTACTCAGCCTGCAGTCCTCGTGAGAAGAAGTCCACAAATGCCTACGTAAAATAAAGGAAGGTCATAGGGACAAAATTACGACTATAAACCTAACAACACAAAAACTGGGGAAAAGGAAATATGTACAAAAAGAAACGGTAATGGTAAAGAACATTAAATTGAGCATTAAACCAGAGGTTCACCCTGGACATATTTTAGACGCACTTTTCCACTTGCATTTGCAGAAACTGGGATTTAGTGGATAAACATGACCCAGTATTAAGACAGGAGCACATTAATCAGCTGAAACTGTGAACAGCAGGTTGTTTCTACGCTAACAAACACACATGAGACGCTGATAAAACATTATGACGCCACATGCTCCTATAAACACTTTTAATTGGGAGGCTACCTCGGGACTCAAGTTAGTCACCGACTTGTTTATATTCAACAATTAAAACAGCAAATATAAAAAGGGACCATCCCTCAATTTATCCATACAGCTAAATAAATGTTTAACTAACATCTGTCTGCAACGGCAGTTAGGTTTTTGCCTCGATGCATGTCGGTAAATTACACGGAATAATTCATAGCATGAGAGCGAAGATAGATTTCCCCTCGTGGACCACATACATATGTTGTGATGTAAATCGCTAATGATGCATCTATAGATTACAGTTGAAGAAAAGGTCATTAATTGTGTGTTGAAATTACCTTGGAGGCAGAGTAGACAGAGAGAAGAGGAACAGGGTACATCCCACTGGCGGATGAGATGTTGAGGATGGCCCCCTTCTTCCTGCAAGACACAGGAATAAAAGCAAATGTTGTTTTACACTGGAAAGAATAAATAAGAAAGACAAGGGCGACGTGCAACAAACACTTCACTCTGAAATCAGTCCCTGGATGAAAAGAGAAAACGGTTCTGTGTGTGCTGGCAAGCTGAGCCCAAACTGCTCTTGTTGTACATCAAAGCCGAGCTGGTAGGTATTGATATGATAGAACACACAGTAACATCAATACTTAAATATTTACACTTTGATGATATTTTTGCTTCAGCTCGTGGGCCCGTCAGACAATATTCCATCCAAACCCGAGGAGGAATACACCGTGAGAGAGAAATCCTTTTGTTCGTGTACCATGCGGCCAAGAGAGTGAAGGCTTCGCTAAACTGAATTTCTACACAAGTTTAAAATCATCACACAAAATGAAAATTTTATGTAATGCAGATGTTTACTTTGTACTCTATTCCAATCACAGTAATTAAAGATTACTGACCTCTCATTTTTAACCCCCTCGTTGCAGAATAAACAATTTAGAAGCCGGTTGTAATATTATATTTCATGCAAGCATATTCCAGCATTAAACAATGTGTGGTTAATAGCATGTAAACCTTCCTCAGCTTGTAAGTGTCCTTTAACTGGTTCATTATTTTACCGTAAACAAACATATCGGTTGATTTGCTTTAGCACAATAGTGATTTTTTTTGTCAAACTCATAGTTAAGTCACATGCAAAGATGTAAATTCAGCATCTGCTTTAAATATCAAATACAAAAGCTTTCTTTTGTTATTTTTATTTTATTAACAGAACATTTATTTTTTCTTAAGTAATTGGGACTTTTAACTGGATGACATTTAGTTATGTTCAATATTGTAATTATTATTTTTATTTTTTCTCAACTCACCTCTCCACCATTTGAGGCAAAACGAGACGAGTCATCTGGAAACACGAAGGGAAGAGAGAGTGTGAGAAGCAAAGCAAAAAAGCATTAGAAGGACGAAAAATTCTATTAACGTGGGTGGGTTGTCGACAAGTGTGTTGAGGTGTGCGTGCACATTTGTAAACTTGTGTGTGTGTGTGTGTGTGTGAAGAGGTGTTTGGGGAAGGAAGACAAAGAGAGGAAGGGACTGATAATGATAGCAGAGGGAGCCGTTTAAAGAAATATTGAATGACATAAATTAAGTATTAAGAGAGTGGGTGGACTTTAGCTCTTGCTCTGGGAGCAGGCGAACATGGAGGAGGGAGAGAAGTGGCTTACTACGCTTTTTATCAGTGTGTTTGCTCGCGTGTGTGTAACAGTGACAGTGGATCTGAAACATGGACGAGCATTACTCACGGGCAACCCAGAAATCACTGTGAGACATGACAAAGTACACGTTGTACAGACTGAATCACTTATTCAAGATCACCTCCGCTCTGTTTCATTTTAACACCTTATACACTTTCTAAATATTTTCGGGCACGGACACGACTTTGATCGCTGCCAAACTGCCTCTGCTATTTATAAATGTTAAGGGGAAATTCTAATGCAGTTTGATTTTCACTGAAGAGCTTCTTTTTGTGGCTCGGGCTCAAAAAGCCTCATTACGTCCAAAAGCGGTGACACTTACTTGGCAAACCGATGTTATGTTAATGTTGACCATGGTGTCGATGAACTGAAACAAGAAGAGCAGGAGCATTAACACAACAGTGTGTTTATGCATTAACTTACACGTGTCATTTGTTCCAACAGTAGATATCAGAGCTTAAGAGTTCATCTTTTGTTTTGTTAAAGCACATGATTGTGAGTTATCTGCTGAAAATGTCAAGTATGTTCACAACGTCACTTCTGAGAGGAACATGCATTCTCATAACAGAGAAATGTTTAACATCTAAGAAGTTAAATGGACTGTTGCATCAGGTTCTGCTGCTATGACCTCAGTTAGTCTAATACGACCAGTAGCTTCTGGTGGCTAATGTTAACTTTGAGGGAGACATACAGTTTATTTTGAAACTGCGATAAACCTTTAACTTACCGTGTCGAGATTGGGAACATTCAGGAAGAATTCAGGGTAAGAGTAAGATATTCCAACATTGTTCACTGTTAACAAGAGAAGAAAAAAAAAAACAGCACTGTGACATTTGAAATGCAATTAAATTTGACAAAGTGATGGATGAGAGGGAGATTACATTGATTTAAATGAGAAACTCAAGAGTGGTATACCTCTTTCCAAACTAAAGAGGGCAGCAGAGGGCTAAAGAAGTCAGTTAGCCTTTATGATAACATAAAAAAATAGCACACCTGATGTCTATGTGACCTTGGTTCACAAACCAATTCTCTATTTCATATGACGGACTTCATATAAAATAATGACAGGTGAGGTGGCCCCAGCACCTGCTGCATTCTTACCCAATACACCGATCTCCAGCCCCGAGAGTCCTTCCTCAATCTTAGAGTAGATGTTGACGTCACTGAAGTCCGCTGCAATCGTTTTAGTCTCCACGCCACATCTGCTTGCTGAGGGGACGAATATACATAAAGATTTTTTATTCAGTTTTTTTATATTAAAATATACGAGAAACAATAAAAGATACCAGAACCCTATTATTAACAGAGAGTCACTTAGAAAAGGTAAGAGCAGGGCAAAGAAAAATGATTAGACCCTGAGATGATTCTTCATCATCAATGAGGATATCCGTCCCCACGGAGAAAGCGTTCATTTAATTGGACAGATTCACTTTCAGCTCCAGCAGGAGGCTTTACTGCCTCATTGCCAAAAGCATAAGGTTTCTGCTGAATCCCCATTCAGTGAAGAATCACTTGTGCAAAACACGCAATTCAATGGAATATCATTTATTCGCCAGTCATTTAGCTCTGCTGGACTATTACACAGTGCAATATGGATGCCACATTTCAGGTTCAGGATAAATGAAGCTGTGCGGCTGCATGGATCATTAAGACTGAACTCCAGTCAAGCTGCTGTCATACTTAACACATAAACTATATTAGTCTTGTGCCTCTGGACCACAGGTACTGCTGATTTCCCTTGACTGCAGGATGCTGGATTACTTCAACTGATGGATTAAACAGAGTAATATTGAGCTACATACTGTATATCACAGTGATTTACATGAAACACTTCACCTTCCATTCATTTTCCATGTCTGCCAACATGTTTGTCTGCATTTATGCGGCATGTTTTTGAAAGAATGAATAAATAAAACTAATAAAAGAATGGAAAAATAAAAAATCGAGACGTGTAAAACTCACCGATCATCTTGGAGACTTCATCCAGCTTCTCCTGAGAGCGGCTGATCAGCACGATTGCAAAGCCTCTGCGGGCCAGCTGCCAACACAAAGATCACGTCAACGGAAGGCGATGCGATGTGTTTCGACACAAAAGGCATTAAACAGACTCTTACCTCCTCTGCGTAAGCTTTCCCAATCCCATCTGTGGCTCCTGTCACAACTAGAGAGGAATAGAGAGATAGAAACTGGATTAGGGTGATTTCAGTTTGAGCATTCAAGGCAAAAAAACACTTCAACATAAACACTGGTAAAAATCACTTTCAAGTAGAATGCATAGATTACAAAATAGAAGTTACACTGCCCTCGTATGTTCTTCGATTTCTACATTATTTCACGACCAACTATCAGGATGGATCCAGACTGTGTGAGAAAATTAACACAAAGATCACAGACAAAACTATAAAACTACTGGATCAATATACTGAATACTGAGAGTCTGCCACAAGAATATACAGTAAAAGTCTTCTGGTGCATGGACAAAAGTGTGTGGGCACAAAAAAACACTACACCTGTACGCCACTGTAGGACCAAACCATAAGTATTCATCTGTTGCTACAACCGGATTTGCATATTATTTACAATATGAAATAAAGAAGGAATAGCCACATCTTTAATTAGTGTCTGTATTTGGCCTTGAACACATTTAAACAGTAAGTTAGATCAGTGCATGACCACACATTCCCAATTAGAATTTATTTCATATTCGAAGCTTATTTCCAGAGGAGAGAATACTTAGAATTTGAGGCCAGGGATGTTTTTCATTTCCTGCTCTCGACGCATAAAAAAAAGATTTTATTAATGAGTTTTTTTTTTTTTTTTGGTGTGAAATCCAAACAAAAGGCTGGGGGACATTTTAAACACTGCTTAAAAAACTGCAGGAAAACAAAGCAGTGCAAGCCTCCGAGAAGGAATAGATAAACAGCGCCACCTAGAGGAACATTATCACCAGAGAAACCCGGTGATAAAGATGTCAGGGTTGTGGACAATTCTACTTTCGAGCGATGCCGGGGAAATGCAGGGTAAAAATAAAAAATAAAAAAAACCCCAACAAGCTGTGAGGACAAAAGGGTTTAGACGAATAAAACACATCAACTGTCAAGGGAAGAGGGAAGAGGGCCGAACGTCAGCGCACACAGATGCACTGCAGGATGAGGTGCGTGGAGAGCAGCTGAGGTGAAGGAGGAGGACAAAAACAGAGCGGGAGGGAGGGAGGGAGGGAGGGAGGGAGGGAGGAGAGGGAAAGTGAGGTCCTCTCTGTCATCGGCGGCAGTCGAGCGAACGGATGCCCTGGAACTGCATGGCACAAAAAGCAGCAGCGGCAGCGGGGGGTCTATTTATAGCAATTCCCATCTTTCAGAAGCAACTATTCATCACATCTCGGGCTAAAGATAACAAAAAAGTGGATGGGGAACGGGATGGAGAGACAGAACATTGCAACATGTCCCAGTGTAACCCGCTCTGATGGGATATACGTTGCAGGCTGTGTTTTGTCCTCTTTTACTCCTGCGATATATTTGTTTGTGTAAGTTGTTGTTTGTGATGCGTCTGCTTTTGTTTGTTACATGCCCAAAGACTAAAGAAGTGGATTTTAACATGTAGTGTGTTTTTTTTACTAATGTTCATTAACATGCTCTGGAACCAGCAAATAAAGAAAGAAAGAAAGAAGAAAGGTTGTTTTAACTTGTGTTGCTCTCCCTCGTTTGTTTTTAGGCATCAGTTACGTGTAATTATTACTCTGCTCCTATTTCATGTCATGTGATTCTGTTTAGCGTTGTGGTTTAGGACGACTTCTGAGAGTGAAGTGCACTTAAGATGGGAATATCGGTGGGTGGGCTGGGTCAAGCCACATCCGTGTGAGTGGCAGCACTAAACACTGCCACCGGTAAGGTTTGCTTGTGGAGCTTTCAGGCTCTTGGGTTTATTAAATAGTGAACGCGAGGATTAGAAAAGTGAGTGCAATCGACGTCCAATCTGACACCAAATGCTTTATGAGATTGCTACTGATGTAATTGGCAACAGCAGTACGAGAATACCAGGGTGCTGCGCAGAGTACACGTCACTGTTCTGCTAGGAGGACTTTCCAGAGTAATATTTTAATTGCTTGATATGTGCTCATCATTTTAACGCTTGTTTAACTTTTATGCACCAACCAGGAGTAGCACTCATAATTCTGTTCTATTTTCGTACAATGACAATTAAGGTTTTCTATTTTATTTTTATTCTACTCTAGAGACCACGAGTTCTGCTAAGAGGCTCAGTGAAGAGCCTGTTTATAACATGAACTACTCACATCAAGGCCAAGATCTGATCAGCTTAAAAGGGTCAGTATTCACCACAACGTGTGAATCTATACTGACGATTTAGTGCATCCATAAATTAGTTATGTTTCAACGAATGAAAATCATTGAACAGACACGGTAAATGCTGTGAGTTAATATTGTGGATAAATTCTCTTTTACGCACCTGACTGTGTTTTTTTATAAAAATCTGCTGCCTCTACCACAATCAGCACAGCAGAAATAACTGTTTATTTTAAGCAAATATTACATTTTCGACAATACTATTCATTCCTCCTCTTGCTCATCCGCCTCTACCCCTTCTGTACCCATCTCCCTTTCATGTGATCTTCCTGCGTACAGATGATGCCGAGGTGCCAAGCATCCTCTGGGGCTGCAGCAGAGCCAGGGAGCGGGGAGGGGTGGGGGGGAGAAAATGACAAACACGAACATGGGGGATCCTGGGGGCAACTAAAAATAGCACAGAGACGAGGAGGGGAGAGCGAGGGAGAGTCTGCAGGCACAATGATGAAGAGAACATAGGCTGGGTTATTTTTAGTCGTTTTAAGAATGAACTCTTTTTGCAGTCGGAGCAGGGAGGAAAAAAAAAAAAAAGCTTTTACAGCTGAGTGCATGATCCCTTCACTCAAATAAAACGAGGTCTATTTTAGGATCTGCCATCTTCTGCAAATGTAGGTTAGGTTAGCTAGGTGCTCTGACGACGGCGCTAATTCACGCAGTCGATAACAGCCGTCCACATCATTCAATCGTGGAACAGGATTGGAGGATGAAGACTACATCAGCTTTTGACATCGTCTGTGCTTAAAGGAAGACGTGATGACGTTTTGCCAGTTTGCAGATTCTTCTCTGTACAAGCAGTTATATAATAATCCCTATCTACCACATAGTGTTGCTTTAATAAGTGGTAAAAACTGACAGTGCAGGAGAGAACTGAAGAGACGGCTCAGCAAACAGTCTTAACAGATATACAACAACATCCTGTGACTGTCCTACTTACTTTGCTCTTGGTCTCTTTCCTCTAGAGGAGTTAACAGTGCAGTGAACAATTCCATACAAAAAGAGCTGGTTATGGACATGTGATGCACCAACAACTGTTAATCTATACTAAAAAAAAAATCCTGTTACTGAAAAATGACTTCTTCGATGTCACTATCAAATATGACAAAGAAATCTAATTGAGACCGTTTAAATCTTAACTTAATTATGAATAGCTATAAATAACGAAACACAAATACAACCAAATATATATACAACTTGAAAAAAGAAAGTGAACATAAAATATAAACAGAAATCACATCTGTCTCTACTACGACTGAGCAAAGACATCCGTTGTTCCATTGTTTATTCTTCAAAACAAATGTTTCCTCTTTGGAGCAAACACTGAAATCTACACGTCTGAAACTCAAACACAATGTGTTGTGTCTAGATTTTCCACTGTTTGTGGAAAGACCAGTTTAAATCCTTGTTCAGAAGATGAACTACAGGTACGCTGGGGTAGACTTAAAGGTTTGATCTATTTAATCAATTAGTTGACAAACAGAATATTACGTAGCAGCTATAGTTAGATAATTGATTATTGGTTTAATCTAATTTCAAGCATAGAATAAAACAGGACAGCTGCATTATTATTACAATATCCTCCAGCAGCTATGATAGATGGATAGAAAGATGCCATTTAACTATGATACCACCGCAAAGGCTCTCGCAGACTCACTCTTTCTCACACACACGAGAGATGTGGGCGTCAGTGAACCAGAATCCTGAGGATCCTGTGTCTCATGTGAAACTTATTCATGAATGGCTCCCGACCAGTTACATAATCAGGCCGTCCACCCAATCAAGTCCACTTCAGCGACACAAAGTTTGTGAATGAAAATAGCAGCCGAGACAAACCGGCTCCTCTGGCTCGCTTCATTTTCTGATTCATTTTGCATGCGTAATCCCAAAATAGACCCCCCCCCCCCCTCATTTGATGCCTTCCATTTGTGGCTGCGTACATAAAAAGATCACAGAGAACTTCAGCTCGCATCTTGAAAACATTTGGATTTTTCTCTCAGACTGATTAGACGACACAGGCTGAAAAACACTGCACAGAATGTAACAGTAAATTCAAACCCTCTCATTTTAGCGGTGAATCTAAAATCTTGATAAAACATAAAAATCAAGTATTGAGGGGCCAAGTGTATTTAAGAAAAAAAGGGGAATATACAGTGCAAAATTACAGCCAAACTGACTTTGCATTAGCCTTTGACAGACTTGTTTATATTTGCCAGTATGAAAATGTTTTTAATAGAATAAACCAAAGATGTGAATTTATATTTTACTTTTAAAAGAATTATGTTGATTTTCTTGATTCAAGTTCTATGTATGTGATTTATACTTGAAGGAGGGAGCACAGCTATTTATCTTCTGGAATAAATGTAAATGTGTACATAAGCAACTGAACTTATCTGTGTTGAAAACCAGTTTTTTTTAACTTCCTACTATTTGCATCAGTGTCAAAAAAATCCACATCGACTCTTCTATTAACAAGTATTTTGTTCTGAACCTTGTGAATTCAGTTCTTATGGCTTCAACCAAAAACACTATCTGAACTCTAGTATGATAAGTTTGAGCTCTTTTCTGTTATGACGTGAACCTTGAACACTGGCCGACATCAAATCCGTCGTGGTGGTTTGTTCAAATCTCAAGGTTCAGTGGGCGAGCAGGAAGGACAGATGGATGCTATTACATCTGATTTGATAATCCCCTCGAGCCATAATCCAACCAACAAGATTTACTACAGTTTACATACAGCGTCAAGGAGCTGACCACTCACTCCTTTAACTCTTGTCACACACACTAAACGACAAACGCTTTAGTCGGCTGTCGCTCGGACAAAGAAGTCGGGTTGGGTGTTGTAACAAGTGCTTCAGACTGGAGGGCATTGCAGTTATCAGTTTGAACTATGAAATACTCTGGAACAGTCAGAACAAACGTATTATGCAACAGCAAACTGATGATGTGTTCAAAGAAGAAATGTGTCAGATTACACAGAACTACAGCCAAACCCACAAACTCAGTAATTTTTTTCACATTGTATAGAACTATTAATTCTAGTCCTGAAAAAGAATGTGCCTTTATAGAAAGAGATAATTTAAATCAACCATTTCACAGTGCAAACAAAGAAAATGAATCTTCATCCGTAGTAATAGAATTTTTATCCTTTTACAGGGTTTCCTAATCTCAGTCCATCAGGCAGGTTGGTCCAAACCCTGCAGACCTTCATTGCTCAATGGTCCGTTATCTACGGCTGATAAAAAGAGAGGTTTTTGGTCCATTGAATGTTTTTTGAACCATGAAATTGAAATACTAAAAGGTATATCATGTATCGGACAACTACGTTAAAAAGATTTTTGATAGAAACTCAAATCTACACTAAGTATAATCATTAAAACACGTGTTGGAAAATGTCAGATTTGATACTGAACCTTATTCTGAGTTTTTGTGAATTAGAGACGGTATGATATATGATAAATGTTTAAATAATCAAACTGAAGAAAACTTTGTTTCCATCAAGTTAAAGTTCATCGGCACAGGAGCTGCCCACCCCCCAAAAACTCCTTACCCCTTCCCATTTTAAGAGTGAGTGACTTATTAACTGGTAATACTGGAATTTATTACAGCTCATAAACAAACACATGTGAGACTTGTGATATGACTTCACCTGCAAGGGACTGTTTGAACCTTCACTTCTACAAACAGCTGGAGAAAACCTGAACTCATCTCCAAACAGCTTACTACCATTGACAATATTTGTAGATGTGAACTTAAGCAATTCATTTACAGGACACTGACTAATTATGTTGATGGTTAATTACAAATTGAGCCTATTCCTATTAGTATCTTCCTAACAATTCAAACTGCACAATTGACTTATTGCAAAACCCTTTATTAAGAATGAATGAACATTTGCAGGAGACGGACCAGCCTTTGCTGATTGTTCGTTACAAACTGAGGAATCCATTCTCCTTTCTTTCATACTGACGTTTATAATAAGATAATTAAACTTTATGACACATTATTTTTTTTGTTCTGTTTATATCTCACATTGTGAGGTGACCTCGAGTGCT